GCAGCTGGATGCAATAATCGCATGCCAATGTGCATTGGCTCGTTTAGTTTACACTCGAAGTAGATTGGTCTCTCTAAGTGAGATCCCCAATTCGTCGGTCATCCGACGTGACGTCTCCGTTCCCTCCTTCAGGGAACGAGGGTTACCATACATAACCGAGACGTTTCCCCCTGCCCTCTACTCATGTCGTCTCCTACTCATTCCAATGCATGGACCGTTTCTATACTTCTCTTTTTCTTTGGTTCTTTACTCTAATTTGATCATTATTCTTTTTAAAAAAGAAAAAAAAACATTCTCTTGTAATGCACTTAAAACAATACATTTGATTTTAACAAATTAGATTATTAATAAAACCATACGAAGGTCAGGTAGGGTAGAACTGGTTGAGATAAAAATGTGACCTTCCAGCATTCACATCTTTTAAACAAATTTCTGAATGTGCAATACAGTTTTTGACAAAATTTCCCCTGAAAATCATTACTGATTTGTTGTGCCTGTGGCATATTCTTGGCTTAAATTATGAATGTCGACATGATTTTGATGTTATGGTTATTGTAACATAAGTGAGTCAGATACACTGATGTCATTGGTGGTGATGCTGTTTTTCTTTCAATCACACCATTGTGCTTTATTAGCTCAATTATGCCACCCGTATTAGTGTTATTCGGTTACTCAGCTGCCATCTGCTGCCAAGCCCAAATGCTTTTATGTTTTCATTAGCTAAGTGTTTCTGAACATGTGAGTGCTATGAAAAATAATGACAGATTTTCAGTAAGTTATTTGCGGAGTCATTTTTATTTTATAGCGTAATTTTATAGCTGAAACTGGATCATTAACCAAGTTGTGATAAAGAATATGCATTAGGATTAGTAATGTGGAAGAATATATGTAACCTCCTTTAAAAATTCTGCATTCATTTCTTACTAAAATACAAGAAACACATCACTAAAGGTTTTAAATTATAGTATAGCTTGGATGTATTTACCGATGATGAACAATAGGTGGCGATGTTTAACAACACATTACTTACACCATTTCTGCTCATTTTGTGAATTTTAACCCACTGAGATGTTTACCTCAAATTGTTGGAAGAGAGCTTTTGTTTACATAACCTCGACAATCTGATAAATTATTATTTTTTCTTTTAATCAGTGCATTTGATCTCTGGCATGTGTCCCAACATATCTTAGTTATAACTAAAAAGTCTCACTGTTGTTATGCAGACAATATAATTTAATTTATTGTGTAAAGCATGTGAATTCAAACCTGTCATCAAGAAATTCCTCTGAGTACAGTTCACGGTGTCAAACATATTAACCATTCTAGCCTAATCAGTGTCAGTGAGAGACCTTAGCCTTGCATTAACTTGAAAGGATTGTAACTGTGGAGTGATTATCAATTTTGCTCAACGGTTCGAGGGCATAAAGCAACACAGGATTCAGGAGTTATTGGGGTCAAAAGATAATAGGTTATTTCATCATAATCAGAGAGCAAGGGGTCATGGGAGAAATTACCTGCTGTTCAGTGTTATCTGGGCTAATTCAGACATCAAATTACAGTCAATCTATCTATCTATCTATCTATCTATCTATCCATCTATCTATCTATCAGCCTTGATTTTGAGGATGCTGCAAAGGCACCTTTGGCTTCATTACCGCAAAATAGTCTAAAACCCTAAGAACTGTGGTAATGACTAATACTTTTCTGAAATTATATGGAATTCAATCATAAGTCTGTTTATCGTCTCATATACTTACAAATCTTGGATAATTGCATGGTGAATGGCAATTATATGTTCTGCAGTCAGAAGGGTGTATTTACAGTAGACCAACACTCATAGTGATATTTATCTGTACTATTTAAGCCCGTCTACATTCTGTTGTAATGCAATGGACTGACTTGTATTCTGTATGAGTTAAGATGATGAGTAAACATGGGCTGCATTTTATACATTTAATTAAAAAAAAGATCATTTCAAAAAATCATTTCAATTCAGTAGTCTACCTAAATTGCAAATCTTAGAATCAAATGCTGTAATAGCTATATGTAAAATATATTTTAGTGTATATAGCTATAATATGAAGAAATGTTTTCAACAAACGTAAAACCTTTGACGCATTTCCAACTGTCATTCGCTACTCTTGTTCAGAAGCACATAAAGAGTGGGTAGCCTATAAAGGTATGCGTACATTTGTTTTGAGGAACAACTCGTGAGTAAGATTAGGATATAATTACTAGCCTACCTTATCATTCGCAAAGCTAAACACCCTGTTAAACAGTTGAACAGCTCTTTCTACATTTTCTATACCTTGAACTCTTAAAGGCGGAGCATTCCGTTTAAGTTAAAATGTATAGATTGTTCAAGCGTTCGATTCGTTTCAAATAAAGTTTAAATTGCTGTATTTGAAGAGAAGCGCGCGCAGGAAGCTGCTCAGCTGTATATCTGTTGGATGAGTGCAGACCCTGCCCTGATTGCCTTATATCCATGTGTATTGACGTGTGGAGAGCAGATGGAGGCAGAGGGACTGATCTGATCTCTAGTCCTCAGAGGTCATTCTCGCTACAGTTACAGCCACTTGTTGCCAAATCGCTGAGAGAGCGCGAGCGCGTCGCGAAACCGTTTTCATAAAAAGCTATTTCTTTGCTTTCACGACGCACATCTAGATGTTAAGACGGGAATACAACTACTTCTGACTTTGTTTGGGGGAAAAAGGTCACTTTTGAGCAAATTCTTCGCATTTGACGGGAGAAGCATGGTTGACAACACAAGCATAGCAACTAAATCTGCACTGGTAAGCACGCGCTTTTGCTCCTCTGGTAGAATAGAGATGTCGTTATGCTTAGCGTGTCACTTTATTTTATATACTTTAGTTCAATATTTAGTGCACTTAGCAGATGTTTATAGACTAGCGCATGTTGTGTTGCTCGACACGCGCTGCCCTTCGACCTATAGCTAGCAACACAGCATATACAATACACACATTGTCATGTTTCTATCACTGAATAATTCTAATTCGAGGTCGTTTTATGTGACATCACATCAGAAATGTGGCATTGCGTGCTTTTACAACGTTATTGATGCTGACCGTCAGATAGTTTATCCTGTTAGTGGAATCATTTCCATAGGAAACCACGATTCTTGCCTAGCCCAATGCAAAAATCGTTTAACCTATGAACTGTGCTGCACTGATTTAATCGGTAATACCATTTGAACATTTTAATATAAGAAGAAAAAAAAAACTTAAAAACTTCAATTGTAGCATTAAACCAAAGTTGTGCCTAAGTTACCTGCACTGACAAGTTCACTTTTCCCGACTACTTTAATTAGCTTACTGATAAGAAAAATTTAGTAAAAATAACAAATTAGCTTTGTCAAGTTCAGTGGATGGGAGCTAAGTTATGACAACGATAAGATTTTTTTGCAGTGTATCAGTTATAGCCTACGTTTTGCCAAGTTTTGCCATCTTTAAAGTAGCCTACCCAGACTGCCTAATTATCTCAACCAGTATGGGAATACACTAAGTTTCGACATATAGACTTACCTTTTAAGGAATTTTGACATAGAAACTACTTTCGATCTGTCTATTCTGCTAAACTAGCTATAAAATGTAAATGCAATTTTTCGTGAGCAATCTGGAGGGGCACTTGGCGCCACTAGCCTATTTTACCATAGCTAAACATCAGTTATCTAAAACAAAAGCTACAGTTTTGTGATTATAATTTTGATATATAAAGTAACGTTAGCTACAATAAAGTCATACATCATGCTTTTATGCTTTATTGTACTGTCTGAATAGCGCAGTTGTTATGGTTACATCCTGACGAACTTTTCTGTTCATTACCGCCTTTTTAATGATAGCTAAAATATGTGTTCTGATTAACTGTAAATTTAACTTTTATACGTACTAAAAAAGGCAACTATTTGTATGAAAAATAATATTTGCTGTACACCACCCAAACTATTTAGTTTTTTTTG